TGGGGCAGAACAACATTGATCAAGTCCCGCCCGAGCAGATCAGACCCGAGCAGATCAGGCCTGACAAGGACGGGCCCGAGCGGATCAGGCCTGACAAGGACAGACCCGAGCGGATCAGATCCGACAAAGACGGGCCCCGAGCAGATCAGACCCAAGCAGAACAACATTGATCAAGTCCCGCCCGAGCAGATCAGACCCGAGCAGATCAGGCCTGACAATGACAGACCCGAGTAGATCAGGACCGAGCAGATCAGACCCGAGCAGAACAAACAAATAAATTAGGTGTTTGAACCTCAGAGCTGAAAGCCAAGCTGTGCAACCCCGACATCAAAATCACTACGTCACGCAAAACAACACAAGAGAACAAGACACATTCACCGGCTTCTATCATGCCGAGAAGTACAAGCGCAAAAATCACGCCCATAGAAACAAAAATCATAAAAAACGACCAAGTATATTAAGAGATACAGCCATTTCAAACACTAGACACCCAAAAACGGCAGTCAAGCATCACAAATATAAGCCATCACAGCACGATCACACAAAAAACACCACGGCACGCTCACATACAATAAGGCACAACGCCGGATTGAGAAAAGAACCGACCACAGAAGAACAAGACATCATACAACGGACTTTACAAAAATTCAGGAAAAATACCACACAAATACGGTAAAAATTAAAGCAAAATTAAAACAAAAATACAAGTCAAGCCATGAAAAGATCACAACGAGAACCACCTAGGGAGGGACAGGTGCACACAGGGATCCCCACAGAGGGACCCCCGAGGCGGTGCCTACCTACGACGAGCGCAGGCAGACACCGCCAAAGTGGCGCTGGATGTGGTCAGCGTTCATCTGATGGACCAGCGCCGCAAAGCGACTTTTCCACCGAGGAACAAAGGCCTCGTCCAGCCCCGGCTGGTACACACCACGGGCCTCGGCGCAGCGGGCGAGCTGACCAAGCAGATCCACAAAGGAGGAGGCGAACCCACCGGTTGTCGTCATCGCCGCAGGGACGATCAGAGTTTTTCCATGGTTGAAACCGGTGTAGTAGTCGCGCTTCTCCTTTTCGGCTCGGCGAAGGGCAGCGCCCACCTTGATGCAGGCTTGCGAGATGGTCGGGGGTTGGGCTGTGCGCACAGTCACGTCAATGCCCAGGTCGGGCAGAGCTGGGCCCAGAGCACCGCCGGGAAAGGGGTTGCGGCAGTGCAGGTCGATGCGGCAGCTCTGACCGTTGGCGTTGTAGCCAGACTTTTCCACCCAGACATGGGAGAGGGTGGCGTACCTGAGCAGGCGGCCCATCTCGTCGCGAAGGGCGTTGTGACGCTTGATGGGACGGCAGGTCAGCAGGTGCTCGCGGGTCAGTCGCGGCTGAGGTGTCTTGTTGCTGCAGAGCGGGCACTTGTCCGTCGGCTTGACGTTGATGTTTGAAATGGCCGTATCTCTGGTTATACTTGGTCTTTTTGTACGATTTTTGTTTCTATGTGCGTGATTCTTCGCGCTTGTACTCCTCGGCATGATAGGAGCCGATGAAATTGTCTTGTTCTCTTGTGTTGTTTTGCGTGCCGTCGTGATTTTGATGTCGGGGTTGCACAGCTTTGCTTTCGGCTCTGAGGTTCAAACACCTAATTTATTATTACGTTGATGAGTTCATGGAGGCCAAAACCCATCATGGACACGACCGCAATGGCAAAGGTCGTGTCGCTCAAGCGACGCAACTTGTCCCGACCCCGCATGGTCAAGACAGTGCTGACGCCCCACTCACGTGAGGCCAGATATGCCTGCTGCAGGTCCAGCGCGCACTTGGCCATCAGGTCGTCCAGTGCCGCCTTGGAGCGGAGGGCAACGATCTCAGCTGGTCGCTGAGTCGCTGCGTCCTTGACCGTGGCCATCTGGAAGCCAGCTTGCTGCACGCGGACCTCAAAGTCGGCAGCCCTCGATGCATCCTCCAAGAGCCGATCGTAGACCCGAGGGTAGTGAGTGGCCAGCTTGGCCATGTTGCACCGGACCGCGCTCAACCAAGTCGTGCA